ATATAACAAAATTAAGAGGTATTTAATGATGATTAATAGATGAAATTACTTTTGGACCATAAATATAAAATATTTAAGTTTGAAGGTGCAATTTACTATTAACCTAAACTTTTTTAACAACAAAATGAACGATAGTTAATTCTGGTGCACATTTAGGTATAAATTAATATTTTTAAAATTTGAAAGTATAAATTAAGATTTGAATCATTTTTTGAGGTGCAATTTGAGATTAGCCCAAATAAAAATCTTTAGTCGGTAAATCGGAGAATAAGCAGCTGTTATGAACTCGCGCATGTGTGGTCGCCAGGAAGTAATCGATTTTTAACTACAAATGCCAAAAGAACTCAAAAAGTCCCATAAAAGTTCATCTCTTCTCACTCTTTCTCTCTCTCTCTCTGCAAAATTATGTTTCATATGTGATCTGTCTGTGAAGAATTTAGGATGGAGAAGTTACTAGCGGATCTTTGTCTAAAAGTTTTCCATTTGTTGGATCACCAGAATCTTGCAGCTCAACAAGGTCAGTAGTATCATTATTCATAGAACATCCTCCAATTATATATATTCTCAATGTTAGATTTGAGAATTTTGTATTTTGTATGGTGAGATATTCAATTCATTATAAGATCCGAACTGGGTTTGTTGAATTCTCCTTCAATTATGCAACTTTGCTTGTAATGGTTATGTGTTCATTCATTTTGATTGTGGTACTGATACATGATTAGTGAAATTGCCTTTTTGTCTGGGGTGTTGTGTTGTAAATTATTTTGTATGAGGTTTTTTTTTTGTTGATTCCTTTATAAACTTGACTAAATCTCAATTCTGGATTAACACAAAAATGAGGAAAATTAAATTTTGCATGAAATCGAAACCAAATCTGACCTCGTAGCTTATAGCATCTCTAAGATTGACTTAAATTTTTACTCAATTAACATTTGAGTAAAATATTTGATTTGGTACAAAGGGGTCTAAAGGACAAATTCAAATTTCAAGGAGGGTAAACTCAAATTTAAATGATGGTGAAATATGATCATTGGATCTTGGAAGGAGAATGAAATTTGGCCATTTGTGATTTGAGTCTCCCTTAATTTGAGTAAATATTTGATTCTCGCTTAATTTTATATGAGTTTGAGTATAAAATTGGAGAATGTTTTTGGGGATTTTTTTTACCCAAATTTAAATTTGGGTTTAAAAAAGGTAAGAGCTTGAGATGCTAGATCAATGTGCTGTGGCCCAAATTGATATCATCACAATTATATGAATTTGGTTGAGTTGTAAAACTGGTTGATATCACGTCTTTTCTCCATTATCTTCAAGAAAAATATTTGGAGATCAGGATTGAGTGTGTTTATTGACCTTCTTTCTGAATTTGTTACAGCGAGGCGTCCATAAATTTTGCTAGATTTTAAAAAGATTGAGCTGTTATGTGGCACNATGAGGTTTTTTTTTTGTTGATTCCTTTATAAACTTGACTAAATCTCAATTCTGGATTAACACAAAAATGAGGAAAATTAAATTTTGCATGAAATCGAAACCAAATCTGACCTCGTAGCTTATAGCATCTCTAAGATTGACTTAAATTTTTACTCAATTAACATTTGAGTAAAATATTTGATTTGGTACAAAGGGGTCTAAAGGACAAATTCAAATTTCAAGGAGGGTAAACTCAAATTTAAATGATGGTGAAATATGATAATTGGATCTTGGAAGGAGAATGAAATTTGGCCATTTGTGATTTGAGTCTCCCTTAATTTGAGTAAATATTTGATTCTCGCTTAATTTTATATGAGTTTGAGTATAAAATTGGAGAATGTTTTTGGGGATTTTTTTTACCCAAATTTAAATTTGGGTTTAAAAAAGGTAAGAGCTTGAGATGCTAGATCAATGTGTTGTGGCCCAAATTGTTATCAGCACAATTATATGAATTTGGCCGAGTTGTAAAACTGGTTGATATCACGTCTTTTCTCCATTATCTTCAGGAAAAATATTTGGAGATCAGGATTGGGTGTGTTTATTGACCTTCTTTCTGAATTTGTTACGACGAGGCGTCCATAAATTTTGCTAGATTTTAAAAAGATTGAGCTGTTATGTGGCACAACCCAAACTGTTTTAATCTGTTGGTCTTAGATTCTGCCTATTTTTAAACCAAGATTTCTCATTAATGCTGGTCATTTGTTTTGTTCCAATGAGAAATTGAGATGAATATTGCTTGTATCTTCATTACAACAGTGTCAACATTCTACTAAACCATGTTATGTAAGGCCTTTGGTAAACGAACTCTTTTGACAAAATTCGTTGTTTGTGTATTGATTGCGTTTTAATGGTGGATATGGAATGAGTGACCATGCTGGTGTATGATTGGAGAAGGGAGTATGGAAGAAAGAGGAAGGGGCTGAAGTTTGACGACATGAGAATAAAAGTTAATATTAGCTTTTGTGTGGCAATGGTCACATCGCCACATCAGTTTGTAAGCAAAGGTTGTGTTTTTAGGTTTTGTACAGAGCACTGTCATTATTTTAGTTAGTTTATGTACTAGTTGTATTCAGTTGTCCATATTTTTGTTCATTTGCTTGCGTTTTTCAAGGTCGTGTGTGTGTTGGAAACCCTAGGCTAGCACTTGTCCAAGTAGATCAAATCTGAAATCTTTTTGAAATCTCATTAGCTTTCTTCAAGAGGGGTTGGTTTCTTCTTTGATAGTTAACTCCCTAGTAGAGCACAAGCAGCAGATAATTATCTAAGGTTTTCCCTCAATATATCTTGTTTTGGCCAATTATGAAAAAATAGGTTCATACTGCTATTTCAAAATGTATCAATGTCATTTCTCCAACTATTTTGACCTTCAAGCTCTTGAATCTAAATCTGATTGCACATTTGTATTGGCTCCTTCCCCTAGTTTCTCTTATAATGTTTATTCTCCAAAAGCATGTGTCCGTTTAAATTATACTCTTTAACTTAATGGATCCACATCTTTCCCCTTTTGCTTACCTTTGTGCATTATTGCCTTAATGATGAACATGTCAGTTGTGGTGTTTGTCAAAGTGTGCAGGAAGTGGAAAATCTTGGCCTCAGACAGCAATTTATGGTTTAACTTATTTGAAGAAAGATGGGGCATAGATCGTGCCACATTTTATGCCCCCATAGATTCGAAGTCATGGAAAGAAGTGTATGCAGTACAAGATCGTTGTGATCGAATTGGAATGTAAGTGAATCTATTTGCAGCTATTTTTCATTTCCAAGTTTTGCATCTTTTTATAGTCCAGTGAAACAGAGAAGACAATTGGGAATAAACCTTTTCCCTCCCACTAACCCGACCTACCCCATGGCCCCTACTGAGGCTCAAACCTTGAACCTTTCAGGCTTATACCATGCTTAGTAGGAGGAGAAGTTTTTTGTTTTGTCACTTAGAAATTGTGTTCTCAATAGAAATCATTTGTTCAATAAAAAGAACTAGCCTTGTGACTCCAGGGGGTGGAAGATAATAAGGGAAGGACATGAGTACTACCTTGTCCATCAAGGTGAAATTCAACGATATTTGGGTTCAAGAAGACAGCTAGAGAGAGGAAATGGTAGCAGTTTAGTTAGCTCAGGAAAAGGCCTTGCAGGACCTTTGGAAGAAGAGGAACCTTGCATGGGGATTCTAGACCGAATCATTTTCTTCATTGGGGACTTGGAAGCTGCTTCGGTATGCGCCAAGCGAAGCCGGGTGTTNGTATTCTGGACCGAATCCTTTTCTTCATTGGGGACTTGGAAGCTGTTTCGGTATGCGCCAAGTGAAGCCGGGTGTTGTAAATTGTTCTCAGTGAGATGCTGAGAGTGTAATCTGATTTTTTTGTCCATATGTAAGCTGTAATGTGGTATATATATGACTAGTGCTGGGAAATTTATTCGGGTTGAAACCTGTTATTGTTCTTGTTATTTTTTTTTTGAAATTCATTTATCTACTTTGTAACAAAATCAACTTAAAATATATTATTTAGAGAGGACGTATCCAACATACAAAGTTTCCATTATTATAAAAAGATATGTGCGACCCAATGAACCAGCTAGGGGCATTGATGCTCCCAAAGACACATTTTTTTTAGTTTAATAGTCAGGTGTGTTTATTCAAAAACAAGTCATTCATTCCAGAAGTAAGAGAGGGATAAATTTTTCATAGTTTGGTTCTAAGAGATTGTCAAGATTTGAACTCAAAACATCTAAGTTTATAATTTGTCTCTGTTAAAGAATTCATGATAAATTTTAAAACCTCATCCTACTTTGTAAATATTTTCCAATTGAACACAAGCAAAGAATAGCAAGCAGGTGCATTTCAAACTAATTTCTGGTAAAAATCAATGAACAATATAGTGTTATAAAGGATCATTTACACCGTTTCAAACTGTCATGAGCAAAACTGGCATCTTAATAGATGCTTAAACATGAGAACTATATTAGAATAAGAAATAATTTGAATTATACATAACAAAATATAGAATATCCCAACAGTAAGAGATGCAGACGCCGAACTGAGGCTAATGTGACTTGGTTCGCTTTAAGGCACGGTCCTATACCTCTCCTTTCCTTTTTTTGCCTGCAGACCACTAATTGTAGTTTAAATAAAATGTGACCATCACCATTTGAATAGAACGTAGCATCAAGTAAGCCAAATCCAGTGACAGCTTGTGGAATGAATTAGGCGGTGTTTTTCAATTTTAGAATCAAGCATCGTTCAACGGCTCAGCCTCGTTGTCCTTTTCCTTTAATGCTGTCCAATCTTCTGTCTCTGTAGTGAAAACACATGTTGCAATAGTAAGCACCTAGAAAAGCTTCATGCATGGACTAATAATACACTATAATTACTAGTCATTTTATTTCTGCTACAAAATTGGTACTACATAAGCCTGAAACAAAAATAGTACAATAATGAATCATGATTTGAAAACTCAAGAGTTCTAGTGCAGAACTACTAACTTGACTTCTCTGCTATCATCAATAGCCGCCTCTGCAAGATAGATGCAACAAAGAGGAAAATCGAGCACATCCCGNCGAGTTCTAGTGCAGAACTACTAACTTGACTTCTCTGCTATCATCAATAGCTGCCTTTGCAAGATATATGCAACAAAGAGGAAAATCGAGTACATCCCAAACATTACAGTGATAGGGAACACATTAACCTTCATATACATACAGAAAATTAGTAACATAAAAAGGACCTGATGGTGCATGATAAAAAGTAAAAGCAAAAGAAGGCATTGTGTGCAGTATGGAGAAAGAGGAGGGTCAATATTCTCTAATACAGGCCAAAAATTTTTTTGCCACATTAACTATGTTCCAGCTAAAGAAAGCAAAATTTACAGCACAATTCTATTTCTATGAGCAGAGTGCAGTCTTAAGGTGGAGCAACAAAGGATAGAAAGTCCAAAGACATACATTGTAAAGAACGATGCAAACAAAGATGTTGAGAGGAATGCGGAAAAAGTTCATAATGGTGCTCCTAGCCTCCTCAGGAATGTATTGCGACCTCATCTTCATAATGGAAGGCCAGAATATACCCACACAAGCCTCAAAGGTACAGAAGCCAATAAGCTGGATACAACCTGCAAATGAGATGCTTCCACCTTCCACCTTAGAAGGAGCTACCAAAAACTGTTCCAAATAAGCAAATTAGAGATGGCCATAACCAGAGAATTTAAGAGAAAGAAAAAAAGGAAACATGCAACCCACTACATACAGTAGTCACAATAGGAAGCCGAAGAGAGGCAGCAGAAACCACAAAAACAATCTGCATATAGCTCTCAACTCTTAATGATGTGCGGGCCATCAAGCGAGACGCAATAGTGCTTCCCAGGATTGAAGCCAGCATAAAAGTTGCAAATATAAAACCGTGGGGAATGTCCTCCTCATTTGGGCTCAAAGCAGGTGTCCAGAGGAACACAAAGGTGTACATTGACCCTTCAAAGAGGGATTGTATTGCACCAAACAATGCAATCTTCTCATCTGATCTACATAAACCATACTACAGGGTCAACAAGGAATACGAACAGGAATAAAAAAATGGACACTTAGCAAAATATATAGATTGACAATGAGAAAGCAGCCAAAAACCATTTAGGCACAAAAAAATCTGACCACCATTTAAAAAGAACACCAGTGAAAACCCAAGAAGAACGTCGCATCCTGGAGTGGTGATATAAGATATAGGTAGCCTGTTCTTTATTTCTGTCTTTCAAAATTAAAACTGAAGCCAATCACTGGGAAGAATCATTGAATGGTAAGTCCTTAATCACTGCTTTTATACTGCATGCAGTACCCAAGGGCTACTCCAGGAGTATTTTATGGGCTGTGAAAGTATTTGAGATCTTAAATAGGTCTCTACCTGAAGCAATGGCCACAGCAGCACCGTTGAACTGGGTAAGCAAGTCCTTGTTCTCTGAAGGGTCACCATAGTTCTCACCCCACGATGATGGTATAACTGCCATGCCAATGGCAAGAAAGCATGCAGTGGCGTCAAAGGGGGACACAGGCCCAAGACTCATGGTATCAACTAGCAGATTTCCGAACAACCCGGACACAATAGCAACGAGACCATTGCTGAGAAATATTGGGAGAAAGTTATTGAGAGCCATTGTTGATCAAATCCTCTCTGCAGAAATAGGCAGAAAACAGGGTCAATGACAATGAAAATGAGGTAACTTCTATGGACAAACTACAAACTAGTTGTTGCCTAGAGTTGGCTTACACTTACACATCCAAAAACGGATGACAAAGAAAGAACCACAGCTTGACGGTTCAAATCCTTCATGGCCAGGTCAGAAAGTATCCAAGGAAGGCAGCAGAAAAGAACAAGAAAAACAAAATGACAATATGACAAAAGGGAAGAGTTTGATGACAACTGGGGATCCCTAGACACAATCTTTTCAGCATCCTATCCAAAATAGGAGCAAAATAAACAAGGGCGGAACGATCAAATAATTCCAATTCTGGATTTCTGTAGCCAGTGTTTCTGACAACTGCAATTGAAAATTATTAGAGTCAAAATTATGGATATAGATCCAGTTTCACTAAGTAGTTTTCTTTTCTTATTTCTTCGAAGAATTTATGTGACTACTATAATCTGGTTANCAGAAGAGAGGCAACAGAAACCACAAAAACAATCCGCATATAGCTCTCAACTCTTAATGATGTGCGGGCCATCAAGCGAGACACGATAGTGCTTCCTAGGGTTGAAGCCAACATAAAAGTTGCAAATATAAAACCGTGAGGAATGTCCTCCTCATTTGGGCTCAAAGCAGGTGTCCAGAGGAACACAAAGGTGTACATTGACCCTTCAAAGAGGGATTGTATTGCACCCAACAATGCAATCTTCTCATCTGATCTACATAAACCATACTACAGGGTCAACAAGGAATACGAACAGGAATAAAAAAATGGACACTTAGCAAAATATATAGATTGACAATGAGAAAGCAGCCAAAAACCATTTAGGCACAAAAAAATCTGACCACCATTTAAAAAGAACACCAGTGAAAACCCAAGAAGAACGTCGCATCCTGGAGTGGTGATATAAGATATAGGTAGCCTGTTCTTTATTTCTGTCTTTCAAAATTAAAACTGAAGCCAATCACTGGGAAGAATCATTGAATGGTAAGTCCTTAATCACTGCTTTTATACTGCATGCAGTACCCAAGGGCTACTCCAGGAGTATTTTATGGGCTGTGAAAGTATTTGAGATCTTAAATAGGTCTCTACCTGAAGCAATGGCCACAGCAGCACCGTTGAACTGGGTAAGCAAGTCCTTGTTCTCTGAAGGGTCACCATAGTTCTCACCCCACGATGATGGTATAACTGCCATGCCAATGGCAAGAAAGCATGCAGTGGCGTCAAAGGGGGACACAGGCCCAAGACTCATGGTATCAACTAGCAGATTTCCGAACAACCCGGGCACAATAGCAACGAGACCATTGCTGAGAAATATTGGGAGAAAGTTATTGAGAGCCATTGTTGATCAAATCCTCTCTGCAGAAATAGGCAGAAAACAGGGTCAATGACAATGAAAATGAGGTAACTTCTATGGACAAACTACAAACTAGTTGTTGCCTAGAGTTGGCTTACACTTACACATCCAAAAACGGATGACAAAGAAAGAACCACAGCTTGACGGTTCAAGTCCTTCATCGCCAGGTCAGAAAGTATCAAAGGAAGGCAGCAGAAAAGAACAAGAAAAACAAAATGACAATATGACGAAAGGGAAAAGTTTGATGACAAGTGGGGATCCCTAGACACAATCTTTTGAGCATCCTATCCAAAATAGGAGCAAAATAAACAAGGGCAGAACGATCAAACAATTCCAGTTCTGTATTTCTGTAGCCAGTGTTTCTGGCAACTAGGGCGCAATTGAAAATTATTAGAGTCAAAATTATGGATATAGATCCAGTTTCACTAAGTAGTTTTCTTTTCTTATTTCTTGGAAGAATTTATGTGACTACTATAATCTGGTTACAAGAAAGAGAGCCCAATGAATCAGCAGACATCAGGACAACAAGATTAATCTAAAGAGTTTGCAAGATACAAGAAATTTAAGCAAAACTCTGGAAGCATTATGATGATGAAAAAATTGCTTACCAATGCCATCCGTCATCAAAGTTCTAGAAAAGGCTCCAACAAGAAATAGGCTTTTAGAAAGAAAGTTCCCCCATTGTGCAAAAAAACTACAGATTATGTTCACACCTAGGGAATCCAATTCTCAGATGCAATCATGCTCACACAAAATACCACAGTTACGCATCAGGATCAATAATACTGTTCATCAAAATTCAAGTATGAACTGTAATCAATTCAATATGGATTCCTCTGTCACCAGTCACTAATACAAGTAAGAGCCTTTTACCTTGTTGTGTTCAGCCACAAGCCATGATTCAAAAGCTGAAAATAGGAGAGAAGTGGCAATACCACCCAAAATACGACCCAACATCAAAACTTTGTACTGATGAGAATGCTTGGTAATACAGGTTAATATGTAAGTAATGCAATAAGTCACGCATGCTCGTTTCCGACCCCTGAATTTAAGTTATGAACCATCAGAAAAACATGTGAATAAGCTATTTCGTCACAAAACAACGTGGGTACCTAAATCAGAAAAGAAAATCTCACCATTTGTCATCTATCCAACAATGGTGCCAAACAACATTGAAGATCCAAATCCTTCGATAAAGAGCTGCCCAATTTCTCCTTTCCCATAGCCATACATCATTCAATTGTTAAGACAACTTTCACTGTAGACAAAGGCTAGTATGGCTACCATGTTTTGCTCTTGAGAACAGCTACACCATGTGTACTGATGCATGTAAACACAAGCACTACGATACTTAAAGATGGTCAATATCACATGTTATGCCTAACAGGAGACAAAGTTATCCTATTGGAAGCATGCATCTGTCTTTGTTTTTTCAGTATTCCAGAACTTACTTTTTAAATTGTTGAACTCGACTGGTTTTTGCCTCTCCGCGGTCGGTGCAACCTAAAGGTGGTCGCCAAAAACAAGTAGATCATGGGGTGGCATTCGGTCTCCTCATCATCCAAAAGCTCGCAAATGTCTTCGCGCTCTCACCAAGAAAAGGCTATTACATCACCTAGAGGATGGTCGTTGAATCATCACCACAGTGGTTGGTCGGCCCACGGCTCAGCCTCTCTCAAGCGACTATTCATGTGGGTATCCTATCAAGCACCAACAGTGCCCATTGTTGAATGCCTCAATCGGCTGCTGCAACTGCAAGGTACACTCAATTCTTACAAGGGTGGGTAAATCCCTACGCGATTGGCATTTTCGAAGAAGTGGCTGTTATTGTCGCCTCCATACCCCCTCAACAACAAATCTACACAACGGTCATACTCTCACATGTCAACTGCTGGTCGTGACCAGTTAAACTCATGAAGGGTCTAGTTTTTGCTCAAGAATCCACAATGCACCTCAGTATTAAACTCTCCACTGTACAATAGTGAATTGCATATTATCGAGGAAGTGGTTGTCACCACCACTTATCATCCCCAAAACAAAGCTCTATGATGATCTCTTTGGGCAAAGAAAACTATCACCATATCCTTGCTTAAAACAAATCAAGTTTCTCACTGCTGCCGACTAACTGCTTTCTCTGTCACACCCCAACTCCAAGGGCATGACCAGCTATGAACCATAAATCCATAACCTATGGAACATGTAAGCCTAACAATAAACTAATAATATAGTAGTGGAAAATAACATTAACACAAAATTGATCTCATGTTAATATGTTAAAGTCAACATACCTAAACCTGTTTGCCCAATTATCCAAATGCAAGTAAAGAGGGTTATACGATCTATGCTACGGAGGTTACAACACTATTAGTCCCCAATCAATTCCTTGAGTCCGCTATTGACACTCCAATCGTTTACCTAAAAAAATTTTATTTTGAAAACATGAGCTAAAAAGTCTAGTGAATGGAAAGACATGCATATTCAAAGTGGCTGAAAAACATATTTGACATACGACATGTAAATCAAAGGTTTAGAAAAATAACTTCATCAAGATAATCAATTTCTCAAGAATAACACAATCGGATTCTAACAAGAAATCATATCATAATGGTAGAGACTGTACGATATCCAATAATTGATAGGAACCAAATACCAAATTTAATAACTGATAATAAGAAAATACGTATGGCATACGATAAATAATCATAAACAAAGCCAGTAAAAACGTTGTTACAGTAACAGATTATATCATCATCTCATACTGGTAAGGACTTGTACGATATCTGAAAACCATACCAAATGCCAAAAAATACTCAAGGTTGGATCCAACACCATACTTAGGGTCACCACATGTTGCTACCCGGGAACTGTTCCCTAAGACGATTCGGTGAAGGTCACCAGGACGCACCAAGAACTGTTCCTTCAACCTTTGAGCACTAGGGTCACCTTAGCCTCCCCCGAGTCTATTCCCTAGTGGCCAGGGTCACCCGTACACAGAGAAATAATTTTCCTGGACTTTTAGTACCAAATGCCAGAATATATCTCAGGGTTGGATCCAACATCGTACTTAGGGTCACCACGGGTTGTTGTCCGGGAACTGTTCCCTAAGACGATTCGGTGAAGGTCACTAGGACGCACCAGGCATTGTTCCTTTAACTGTAAAGTACTAAGGTTACCTCAGCCTCCCTCGGGTCTGTTCTCTAGTGGCCAGAGTCACCCGCACACAGAGAAATAATTTCCCTGGACTTTCAATCTTGGTCCCATTCACTATCACAAAGTCTCACCATATAAACAAGCGATTGAGTCACAATACTTCACAAAATAATTAATCAAAGTAAGAAGAATCGCATGGCACAAGTATTTAGGCACTTAGTAAAATATTTTATAAAGGTAGTAATGAACAAGCATTATATATTATTTTAAAATGTTTAGGGATACGGAAAAAAATACGTAGCATGTCAATCCACTCACCTCAAGTCCAGATGATATGTTTCTTGAGTGTTGCTTGTTACCCGAAGTAGAGTGAGATGTTATTGATNAAGAAGAATAAAAAAATATATAGAAAGAAAAATTTATGAGATTTTAGAGTCCAAAATTGGGTGATGATTTTACTTC